AAAAAAAGGAGGAAAAATCAGTTCCCTTCCATCTTCCAAATCGATTTGGAAATCTTGGGCCCTGCACACGGCTTGAAAAGAATAACGGCTTGGGGCTTCCGTTTCATAGGCCCAAAGAAACCAATTTGGCCCATAGGCTAAAATAGCCCAGTCAGCCTAAAGCCGAAAATAAGAATTTGGAGAAGACAAAGTGGTGGCAAGAGCGCTCTTGGCTCGGGCCTCAAAGAAGGGGGCCACTTGTACATTTCAATGGATAATAGATGTACTTTTGCAATTTAAGTAAACCACATGGGTAGTTTCTCTAAACAATCTGTCGCTTTATATTCAGGAGAGACTTTTATATTGATTATATTACCTGATGAACAAAGAGAAGCTGAGGTGGCAAATCGGTAGGGGCATCGACTGTTTCTTTAGTCTTTGCTTTGAACTCGGCTTCTTCTTCTTCATCCCTCTCCAAGGAAAGGTCCCACACTCTGAATCAAAGTTAAAACAAAATTAATAGGAGAATCCAAGTCACAACGAAAATGGAACTCGTTTAATGGAGAAAACATCGTGTATAGAGAAAGGGTTTTTTCTCACGTGAGTTGATTGTCCGAAGAAGACACGGCCAAGGTGGAGGCCTCGTGAGGGCTCCACTCGATGGATGTGATTGGATGTTTATGGTACTCAAAATGTGCAACTACAGAGTCTCCTTCCTGAGCAATATGAGCATAAAAAAAGTTCTTATCCAGGATAATAAAATTAAACCGAAAATAAGATTTAATATATTTGACCAATCAATAGTTAGTACCTTGAGCAATCTGAGATCTCGGATGGAAAATGTCCCGTCATCACTACCGGATGCTAGCATACAGCTCGCCAGGCTTAGAAGCAGAAGAACAAGCAAACAATAACGGAGATGCTTATTAAAGATCAAAGTAAGAAAGAAAACTTGTGGCTTCAAATAATAAAAATATGTAAAAATGTATTATAAGCACCTGTTCCATGTGATAACATTTACGTCAGCTTTGTGTGCTTTGATTGAAACTGCAGGTGATTTTCCCAAACGAATATCCCAGATCGCGACATTCCCATCAACAGAGCACGAGGCAAATACAAATGGCTCTGTTGGACTCCACTGCAAATAATTAACAAACCATCAATATAAGTGTTCGTGATATTATAATATACGTAAAAGAAGATACGAATTCGAGTAACTTGGAATTACAACTTCGATCTCAAATTCGCTCATTACCTTCCTTACAAAACCAAATAAATTTTCAAAACCACCTGTTTATGTTCGAGCATAATAATTCAGACCTCTTTTCTTTTGGTTTATTTTGGAACTTCTTCAGGGTTTCATGCAGTTACAACAAAACTCGGGGGATAACTTTCATAATTAATTCAAAAACAAGGACCACAAATATGATGGTACACCTGCAAATCTTCAACACTTGCAGTATGACCAACAAAGGGATTAACATCAATATTCCATGTAGCATCAGATGCAGGTTCCCACAGATGAATATTATTCTTGCAATCCCCTGCACGAACAACAAAATCCCTTAACATAAATCGAGATGTGATTTGAAGTTGAAGTTGTCAAGCACTAAAATGAAAGGCTTCAAGTGGCTCATACCTGACACGAATCTTCCAGCAACGAGAGGACTCCAGTCCATGGCATAGCCTTCATCCTTGTGTCCAGTAAATTTGACTAAAGGCGCTTGACTGTAATCAGTAGCCCCGCCACGGATAGCTTCAGTATCTGATTCTACCAAAGCCTTCAAATGAGAGCTGAAGTCCCACATCTGCAAAAGCCATCATTTGAGAATTTGAAATGAAACAGTTCAGCCATGAGAAAATATAATATTTTCACGTTGTATACAACAAACAGATTGCTTTAACTGGCATGCTAATAGACATGAGAGCTATATAAAATATTCAACATCTAAAACAATGAATGTTAGAGTCCTTGAACTTAGTATTGAAACTGCATAAGCAATCATGTAGTTAACAAAAATATACTTGAGAAATTACAATTCATAGTTATTGTTTTCCAATATATACAAGGCAAACCCAAGCACCAACTGAATAAATATTAAACTCGCCTGAATATGGCCTGTATCTGCCCAAGAGGCACAAATGTGAGGATTTTGGCGCATAGCACGAATGCGGTTAATGCCTCCTACATGAGGTACCTTGCGTAACTGCAGACACATTAATAGAAGATGCTGAACGAATCAAACACAATTCAAAAAATTTTTGAACAAAAATTCAAATAAAATCTATTTTTACAAGCTTACCTGCAAAATTGGGGAGCCCGATCCACCACCATCCTCCCCGTCATCCTCATCACTATCACTACTGTCACTGTCCATATCAGACCCATCTTTGTCGATCTTGTTGGGCACTAATTCACGTCTCTTCCCAGAAATATTTTGTAACTTGAATATTCCAATATAATTGTAGGAAGACTTTTCTGCCTGACAAAATAGGAAACAGTAAAACTGATCAATATAATAATCATTTCCAGAATAAATATAAATTTAAAAAACCATGGCTAGTGGCCCTTGGGCACATATTCATATTCATGCAGTTTAAGTGAATGACCTATGACTCACCTGTGTTCCCGCGACACAATACACCGTATGTGGAAACTCAGTACGGACCAACCCTAAGGAATCTCGCAATATATCAAAGCTGCCCACAGAAGCAATGAAAATGATCAGGTCACAGTTCACATCCATCACAATTTGAAATTAGCAATTAAATCGTTAATATTGAGACCACTTTCATTGATGACATGGTAGGCAACAAATACACGCACCATCAATGATAAATAAAATAGCTTCTGTGCACAAAACATTCAATAACAATACTGTCGAACTCACTTTCACTATAATCAAAATGCTGCATAACATAGCCAACTGTTGCATCACGCATTCTATTCATCAAAATAGCCAAAACCCAAATTGATTAACACAATTGAAATCATCCTAAGAGCCAAAACACAAGAAGCATCAATAAAAATCACATCTTTCCCAGCTCTCCAACCAGACCACCAAAATAAAGGCATTAATAACAATACTGTCCAACTTATTTCTCTGTATGCACAACACTGCATAACAAAGCCAACATCTGCTGCATCAAGCATTCTATACATCGAATTTGCAGAAACCCCAATTGATCAACACAAACTGAAATCATCTTAAGAATAAAAACACCAAGAAGCATCAATAGAAATCATATCTTTCCCAGCTCTCCAATCAGCCCACCAAAATAATAGTATCAACACAAACCAATACAACCGCGCAAATTAAATTACATAACAAGAAAAGAGACTAAATTAGACAAGCTACCTCAAGCAAGGCCATCCAATATGAAAAGCATGAAGGGAGTTGTACGCAGAAGGATCACACTGAAGCTCCTCTCCTTCCTCCAACTTGTCAACACCAGGTTGCCACACCTTTGCTTCCACCGTGGGCCCCGAATTCGAAGAAGACCCTTCGCCTTTCTTCGAGGCCTGCTAATTGCCATTTTTAATTGAAAAAAAAAAACGACAAAAAAAATTAAAAAAAGTCCCTGCTTAAACTAACAAAATTAGGGCAAACAAAACATCAGAATTCGTTTACCTTGTTCTTGCGTTTCGCCTTCTTTGGGTTCTTCAAGCTCCGAACCATTTTTAGGGTTCAAAAGATGTATGAATGACAGAGCACACACACTTGAGAAGAATGGTGAGAAGAAAGAGAAGGTTTTGCAGAAGGTTTCTACGATGGGCCAAGGAAACTGATTATAATAAGTATGCCCCGAAGCCCATTATGGACCCAAATAACTGGACGAACTCTGTAATCATAACTGGGCTTGCGATGTTAAACCTGAAAAGTGAAGTTTGTAAACCTCATTAAAACCTTCCGTTAAACATGCCCTCAGCTTAGATTTAAACAGCCGAAATAAGTTGAATCTATGACTGGTAAAACTAGCTGATAAGTTAGCTGATAGTTGATAAGCTAGCTATCTTATAACTAGTAATTTTCGAGTTTATAACTTATAGCTTATGACTTATAGCATAAAACTTGCTTGTAATTGTATGATAAAAGTGTTTGGTAAAATTAGCTGATAAGCTAACTGAAATAAAAATTTCAACGAGCTTATTTAAAAAGCTACCAAAAGAAGCTTATCAAATAAGCTTGAGCTTTTTAAATAAGCTCGTCTTACCAACCGGAACTTATTTAAATACATGAAACTTATAAGCTAATCAAATAAGCTATTAAGAATATATATAAATTCATTAATGCAAATTTTATATATATATATAAATTTGCGCATTTTTTCAATTAATGTAGAAGAAAATTGTTATATTTTACATCAATTAAGTGTAACAATATTTTTAATCGATTTTATCATATAATAGTTACTACATAAATTTACATTAAACCGTATGTGAAGTTTCATAAATATAAAAAAATATTATTGCAATTTTGTATATGATATTCATTCTACAATACATATTACATGTTATCTTATTAAGCGTTTTTTTTTTTTTATAATATTAGTTAATTGCTTTTAGTGGCACAATTAAACTCCTTGAAATCACACAAACAATTATTGTAACAATTACAAATATTACATTATGAATTACATTTTATATCATCAATATAACAATTCAATTGTGCTCGGCTCATTTATATAAATTAACAAGCCGGATTTGAACTTTGATAAGATGATATTAAATAAAGAAAATCATATTTTTCTTGAGTCGAATGAATAATGACACTCCCTAACTAAACAAGCTCTAACTAAACGAGATGAGCCCACGAGCGGCTCGAATTGTTTAACACTCTTAATCAAACCCACAGAAGGAGATCGAGTTAATGTGTACGGTGTACGGGTGTAGTACACTTTCTTCACCGTACCAGGTCTTTGACCAGTCAAGGCAGGTCACAATTACTGCACAAATAAAATGTAGATAGAAACTTAGATGTGTAAATTTTGATTATAGTTATATTGTCTCAATATTGATTGAAACTCCTTTCAAGTGCATGCACACTAGTAATAATTCATCAGAGTTGAGACACAAACATGCACGCAATAAACTTAGATTCAATTTTCGATTCAAGTTCATTGCACGCTCAATATTTATTTAGTATCCTTTATT